AATCAGTTGTCTCATTGACTAAAAGACTAAATTTAATATGATATGTATTGCTGCTGTCGGAACAAAATTTTTTCAGTTTTTGACATAATTTGAAAAATTCTGTTGTTCTTTACATTGTATGTAAATATCATGGTGTTTGGACCAAAAGAAACAGCCCAAAATTCCTTTTAGAAAGTCTGGTTCCATTGACTTACATTAAAAGTAAAGCATGGGTTTTCCTTCTCCTTTTTGTTCCGACAGCAGCGATATAATACATGACATGTCTCGTTTTTAGCCATGTGTTTTGACTGATTTGAAAAGTTCTTCAGATTACTCAGGAACATATTTCAGTAAAAAAAAAAAAGAGAGATATGGACTTGAAAGTAATCCTACATGTGTGCTATTGCTATTTTATATGCCTCAGTGAAATTCATATAAACTTTCATGTTTTTCCCTCAAGAATTCTTACTTGTCATAATTGCAATCAAATCAGTATTTTAAGACATCCATCATGCAAACAGTTATTTAGTTGAAATAATGACATAATGAGTTCAGGAACATGGAGTGGCAGTGGATTCATTTCCTGTTCCCAGCAAACATGCAGTAAGCACAACTGTGATTATCACTGAAGGGCTGCCACAGTGTGTAATTAACTGGAATGTGCTTTTCTAATGGAAAGTGAAATTATCAAATATGTTCTCAGAACAAAGGGGAGCTTTAAATACTAAGATTGTATGCGATTACTTTATTTATTCCAACTATCTCTCTATTTTTTTTGTAAAGTGCATACTGCTGCATGAGAAGCATGTGGTTCTTTAACACACTGAGTCTAATGCTGAGTCTTGCACTTCTAATAATCTAAAGTCAAAAAGAACATTCATTTTATTTTATCCTTCCTACTTTCAAAGGTGCAACATTATTTGTATGTACAGAGTGTTCAGTTTTATTGTGAATGTTCATGTAATTTTTCATCAGACTGCAAACATCATTAATATGCTGAGTAAATAAGAATGGACCCAGAAAAGAGCCCTGCAGTACAATCCAATAACCACAGCTGTGTTCCACTAACATAGGCCCTCATTCATCAACCGTTCTTAAGAAGAAATTTCTTCTTAAAACCCACTTACACAGTTATTACAAAGGTTCTGACATTTACCAATGTTTCCTTATTTGGGATTTGTTCCTAGGTAAGAACAGAATCTACACACACTCAAAATCACAAAGGTGAAAACAGTTCTGCAGTTTAAGAACACATCATGAATCTGACATAGACTTTTTCTTAGGACTTTCTCAAGAATAAATTTAAGAAAAAACTTAGGAAGACACTGGTTAATTAAGGGCCCATTGTTCCTAGAGGCACTACCCAACAGATCATAGCCTATGTAACATCATACTACTTTCTTACTACTACATAACTGCCTTTCAATGATTTCATTACTATATAACAATATATTCGGCCATTTGGTATTGAAAGAATTATATTTAGCTATTAGTGAGGGAGCTGTAGTGTTGTAGCCACATGAAAACTTGATTAATACAATCTTTTATAAAAAAAAAAAATCAATTATAATATCGTCAGCTTTCCACACCTTACGGAGATGTCAGAAAGCATGTATTCTGAGTGCTTTATCGATAATTTGTATCTAGATTGTCATCTTCTGAAAGCCTGAAACAAGTTAACTATGTGTTCAACAATGGCAGTTTAAGAATGGCAGAATAAATGTCACAGTAGCAATTCCTAAAGGGATGCTAATGCAGTAAGTAGTGAGATGTTGGCATTTTCCAACTGAGCTCACAATTCTTATGTACCCAGTTTTGACGTTCAGTATAATGCTGTTATGTGTAGCTTTTTACATTCTCAAAGATAACTGAAACAGTGTGCTGCTGATTTACATGACTATTCAGTCTAGTCAGCTCTAAGCCTTCAGTTCAGGATATAAATGTCAAACCTTTGTCAAAACAAATACAAAAACAAATACAGAAATAAGGAAAAAAATCACCTCTTTGATAATGTTAATTTCTGCTAGTGCCCCTATGGGATTCTAGTGGCATGTTAGTTTTCAACTAATGGCAATTCACATTTTGGCTGCTGTAGATTAAATACAGACATTCGTAGCTTGTAAGAAACATTCCATGCTTTATTCAAAGCTTGTAGCAGACACAGTAAAGCTGTCAGAGAATGCATTTATTCAATATTTTAAATTGTTCTCTGATGTCTATATAGAACGTATGTGGTCGGGGTGAAACATGCCTAGATGTGGTTTTACTCACACAGATGCAACATGTTGATATAAACACGCAGGAAGGTAAAATTAACCTCCATGTTGGAGCGTGCTAATAATGCTAACTATCCTCGCTACTTGCTTTTACAATTAACAACAGCACAAAGTAAATAGTTGTTAGCTCACTATGAAACTTTCAATTTAAGATGACCTGGCTTCAACCGTCGAAAAGTGGATAAAATCACACCGCATGGTGCTACTTACAGGTTTCTGTTGGGGTTGTTATGCTAATAAAGCTGGAGGTGCCACTCTGTCTCTTCAGTGTCAAACGCTGAGCGAACCCTCGATATTGTCAAAGGTTTGAGAAACAGTCCGTAGTGAAATGAGCAGAGCAAACTAAAAACTTTACATTAAAGTTGTCCGGTATTATTAGTTTAGATAACCCTGGTTCAGATTTATATAGAGATCTGTGAATCAGTGCAGAGCAGTCTTTAATCATAATGATTGCAATAAATATGACTTATAAGTATGGTTTGGAATTTTGGGAGTAGCTTAAAACAGTCTATAAAAAAGCAAAACATAGCATAAGTACACCGTTGTTTCAGCTTATGATCTTGACCTCACTTTCCATTTTGGTGACATGTGTTTTGCAGAGTTGCAGTCCTCTAATCATATTTAAGACAAGTGGGAATTGGACAGGAGATGACCAGACATGGCATCCACAAATGAAACATATCAGGCTTCACAAGCCAATTCAGACCGTCTATTACTTCGCTGTTCCATTACTCGGCTGGTCTCTGTAGCTCCAGGCTGTGTGCCACTGTGGAGTAAGCAGTTAGATTTCAAATAATGGTCCTGACTGAAAATCTTTTACACAAAAATGAAGGGACATTACACATGATGAAGTGTTTATTATGAGTAATGGATGCGTGCTGCACTTCAATAATTCCGTTTGTTGCAATTCCAGAACTGGAGTTTCAGTAAACTGAATGTGACATGCAATAAAAAATAAGCAGCATGAATGATTTTAAACCCAGTTACTGCAAGACACAAAATAAGTCAGAACAGAGATGCAGAATAGACATGTGATGAATTCAAGTTATGTCTGGCTTAAAGGAAAGAGCAAATACCCCCAATCAAGATGTATGAGAGATTAAGGGCTGATGCAAAAGTATGCATGGCTCTCAGCACAACCTCCACAGGGTGCCCTTTTAGTTTGCTAATCATTAACTGACAAATACTACTTACAGACAGACAACAGACGTTCAGCTCTTAGAGGAACTGTTCAGTGAAAATCATATTTACACAATTCTCCACATACACCAGATGTAGTCCATCAGCTGAGACATTTTTGCTGCACATGTTTTGCTTGTTTAGTTCATCACCGGAGTGATGAGGCTCATGTTGCTAACAAACACTAAAAGTCAAGAGTCACCCAAATCTTTTCCATCAGTACATCCTTAAAAGTTCTCTCAACCTGCTCGAACCACATCCAAATCTTGGCTGCACATGCAGACTTGAAAACTTCACCATGTAGCTAAATGCTGTGGGCAGCCAACATGCACACGTCACACTGGAATATGGACATTAGTTTAAATTTGTGATTTATGTTTCTATTTTTAAACATGTCTTCAGTTAGAAAATTCAAGATGAACAATTATTTACAAGAAACAACAGAAATTGTTAATGAAATCTGCAGTTTAAACCTACGTGACGTGGACACAACAGGCAGTTGATTTTTGTGGCTCCCCACACTGTTCATCGTTTTATTTCACAATAAGTCATACTGTGTCCCAAACTACACTGACTAATCGACCTAAATGAAGACTTGGATGTGGTTTGAGCAGGTTGAGGTTTTGGGGATAAATTTATGAAAAAGATTTGGGTGACTATTGACCTCCAGTGTTAGGAGGTCACATTAGGCTCATAGCTCCAGCGCTAAACTAAGGAAGCAAAATTTGGACGCCAAATACGTACTGGTTGACTGATTTTTGATCATGTCAGTGTGCTCCAAAAGGCAAGGAAAAATAACAATAAACAATAAAATCACTTTTCACCTCTCCCTCCTGCCACCCCCACTTATCACAGAGTGAAAACACTCTGCTAGCTGAGAGACCCACCCTGATACGGTGTTTCACTTAGAAATACATGACAGTGCTAAAGAAATATGTTGGATTATTTCTGTATCTGTATGGTGTGTATTTTCCTTTCGGTTGAAATAAAGAGGAGTTTCACACTGGGTAAAATGATTGGTCAAATGAATACAGGACACCTTCAATTTGACCTTTAAAGTTTCCTTTAAATGTCTGTGGCACAATCACACTCCATGTTTCAGATTATGGATGTAGTCAGACAAACATTGCATGCTAGATTTGATTTTGTATGTAATGTATGTTGTAATATATAATTATACGGGTCCCTAATTAACTCCAAGCATAAGGTAATTGCAGAGATCATGACAGGTACTTCTACTTAAACTGCAGTTACCCTGCGCTTAATATACTTACATCGTAGAATGATGCACAAAAAAGAGGAAAAAAACACTTCTTAGCAGTTCAGCAGAAACGTAATTATCGTCATGTTCAATTAGCCCTGGAGTGTAATAATTAATACTCAACCCCAGACAAAAATCATTATGTCTTATAATAGAGTTACTGAAGTCAGTCATTAACATTCTAAGCAGCTCATTAGGTGTGTCTTATAGTATTTATCTACCAGTTCTCCGTCTCGTGTTCATTCACACCAACGAAACGGCTTTACTACAACACTAATGTTTAGCCATGGGAAAAGAAACAGAGAGACAATACAAATGGCTTTTAATGGTTCCATCAGCATAGATGACAAGAGATCAAAAGCAACTGTTCAAAAATATTACAAATACTGAGTACCCAGGAAAGGTCTGTAAAACTGAGATATGGATCATTTGAAAAATCTTATTTGGCAACGTTGCCTCAATGAGACAGACTCTTATTGTGCGCTTAGCGTTGTCTGAGAACGACAAAGAAGAGTCTACAATGCCTGCTGAACTTGACCCATCAGCACTTCAAAATCACTCACAGCCTCAGTGTATGGAAAGATAGAAATAAAATAACTCTCATGAGAACAGCATTCCCTTTCTCACCTTTCTATTCCTCATGTTTACATTACCCGAATGCCAAACCGATTCAGTTGCTAACTACCACACCTGCAATTCCGATTAATATATTAGTCAGAAAATATGATAAATGTACAAGCAGCAAACAATGAAGTAAGATAGCCTGTGTCTTAAATTTGACCTGTTTGAATGAAAGGGTGGAAATAACTGCAGACCTTGGTAGGCACTGATTTCTATGTTTGATCCCTGACATAAAATGTATTTAAAGCATAACTGTTACATACTGGCTCTAAAATGAACATGCGTGAATGGTATGAAGTGTCATCCACTCTGTGGAAAGGGTGTCACAGCTTCTGGCCCATCTCGGTGAGTTTAATTCTCTGCATGCTGTTAAAAAACAAAAACAAATAAAAAACATGAATTAATCAATGGCTGACAATAATGAGAATCTAGTACTGAGACTCATTTTTTTAACAGTGTACTGTATTACAAATAACAAACATATACTAGTAAATACATTCCTGTTCTTGCAGCTCAAAAATGGCAAATTCTGAAGTTTTCAGACTCATGTGCTCTGACAACCCTATGTTAATGCAGAGGCAGCAAGCCACACTAAATGATGTCTGATTATCTTATTTTATATCGACTGACAGCTTGAGTTTGAAACAATAGCAATTATTACTATGTCTTTTGCTCGAAAATAGGTAACACTTTATTTGGAGTGGTCCTTTGGAGATTATTAATAAACTCAGATTATCAGTAACACATCAACAACATATCAGTAACTCATCACCCACAATGTGTTCGAGTTCGCTGTAAAAAGGGCACGTTATTCGGCCACTTCTTTGGTTTGTGTCCTTGGATTCTTTAAACTGTTCTCTGACGCTGCAGCCTTGGTCTACTCCGGCCGCGTTCAAAACCTCTTCGAACACGGAGCAGTTTGATGAGTCTCTTCTAATGTTTTGGTACAGAAACATCAGACTAAATGTTTATGAGTCTCAGCAGCGCAAAATTATGACAAATGTCGAGTTGTACTGACATAAAAGTCGCATGAATTCTGATCTGGCTGTTCAGACTGAGTCACATTGCCGCAGATCGGATACGTATCGGATTTCAGTACCACATATGTAAGTGTCTCAAATCAGAATTGAAAATGTCAGATTCAATGCGTTTTTTGCTGTTCACACTGCCACACAGATGACACATCTGTGTCACATTTGGGGAAAAAGATCGGATTTGGGCCACTTTTACCTGCTGTGTAAACGTAGCCTTAGAGGTCACTGGTTAAGAGTAACAGAGTTTCAGTAGTTGAAAGACAGTAAAATAACACTGCAACAAGCATGTCACAATAAAAAGCTCAGATCATAGTGGAGCATGGCAGAGGTTTCTGACCAAATATTAAGTGCAAAGATAAAGCTGCCTGTGCTCCACGGATCATGTCTTTACTCCAGTGTACCGGTAATTGGATTCCATTCCTTATGGTCTTGAGGAGCATTTCAGGATTAGAGATAATAAGCAGAGAAGAAACTAGAGCAGTTATGTCAAAAAGATTTGTGTCAAAGTGTTTTTAAGAAAAAAAAACAAAAAAAAACAACACAACATTAGGCACTAAATTGGCTTTTACATTAGAAAGATAAAGTCACTGAATGGCCCAGTAGTCATCCAAATCTCAAACCCATTCAAAACCTGAACACTATTTACAGACTGCAATCTTCTTTGCAGTCCAAGAGGCTGTTTACACCTTGCATTAAATGCATTTTCAGTTCATGTTCAAATTTCACTTGACTGCATGAAAAGCCAAGTACAAATATTTTGATACAATTACAGTCGACGCTCAAACCACGGAGGCAGTCAGAGATGGATCTTGACGACATTCTAAAGTGTCTGCCTCCAAATTCAATTACAGAACTTCTCTCTCTTATCCAAAAAGTCCTCTGGACAGAATTTGTGGCAGCTATAAGACAAAGCCTTCTCCTCGACCACTGGAGATGCTTTACTGTTTGTTATAAATAGTTTCTTCTGATATTTGACAGTGTATAATACACTGTTAGTAATCAGTGAGAACCCATGTTTTCAACAGGTTACCTGAAGTAAAACTAAAAAGACATTGGGTTGATGAGCTTTTTACGTGTGAACGTGAAATTAGATCTCATCTGGTCACACTGGGAACATGATTTAGTGAAAAGTGTAAATGGAATCGGGCCAAACTATATCCAGACATGATCTGCAGACAAAACACATGTTGATGCAAGGTGTAAACAAACTATAAGTAATGTGCAAGAAGCAAAACTCCATGAAGAATGGCAAACATCACACTAGCCCAGTGGGCAAATCTGACAAGTATGCAAAAAAACACTTGCCTTCTGTTGATACTTGTAATTAAATACTATTTAAAAGTACTTTCTTCTTCTTTCTTCTACTTTCTTCTTCTAAATGTAAATGTATTATAATAAAGCAAAATTTGAAACACTTCTGTAAGCAAATGTACAGTGTTTTGACGTGAATATTGTTCTTGGCTAAAGTAGAATTGCAGTCATCAGTCTGATGGTCTCTGGGCCTTTTTGGTCTATTGACTCCTTGATGAGTTGCGATCCAAAGTCCCTGCCAAGCCTTTCAAATGGCATCCCGCCAGAGAACACACAATTTGAGGCCAACTGTCGGAGCAGTTTGATAAAAGCCTTGAACATTAGCATATTTAAGGCAAAAAAAAAAACCCTCACATAGAATATTAAGCAGCATGAGTTTCTGAGTTATGATAATGCAATGAAGCTGTAAATATGATCATGAGTACACTTTTTTGTGACTAGTGGACAAGTTATTGATCAACTCTTCTAAATATAACCATGCAGTAAGTTCAGTACAAGCGCAGCCCAAGCCACCATAGAAACAAGGGCATTGGAGTACAGTGTGTAGTAGAGATGTATCACGATGCAGTGGAATTGGCAGTTCAACTGTATTGAATAATAGAACTGACTCTATAAGATTCAATAAAAATGCACAGGCTACTTTCAAAGGTGCAAAATTAAAAGTCAGCGTAAAAATTAGGGATGCACAGATACCATGTTATTTACTTGTACTTGACCTCAGTAAAATGCACCAATACCAACATCTGATACCACCTGATACCATGTTTTGTACGCTGCCATGCGTTGTATGCCAAGTGTACGGTGTCGCGCTAAATAACGACTCAAGCTGGCAGTGAATGCGGGTCTGATCACACAGAGAAGTGTTTCTGACGCCAGGAGTTCACTGTGTGATTATAGTCTGTTTTTAAACACACACACACACACACACAAACAAAACCACTTAAACCACTTCCACGTAAAATGGGTGGAAATGCCACAGTGTGGCACAAGTTAGCAAAGCTGTTTCTCATGTGCAGTGTATTACTTTATTTGAAATTGTTCATAGACTGTGCGTTTTACATGGCATGGACGGAGTGTTTTCATACAGCATGAGTATACAAATTGTAGGCTTTATCCGTCTGCAGGCATCTGTCAATCGTACAGTGTGAGTTACCAAAGAACAAGATTTCTAAAATCGCACAGTGTATGCCTGGCTTTAGAGGACACTCAAATACAGCTCAACCAGCTAAACAAAACAAGACATGAAACTCAAACAGTGAGCTCCTCGGATGTGATTCATGGCATAGTGCTTCAGAGACTGCTGTTGAAAGACACAGATGAGGATCAAAACTATGAAATGTACTTCACAGCTGTACAGAAGTGCTTTTCTGACGTGCTTCGCTCTTCTCTACTGCAGTGCTACTTGATTTAAGGTAGTTAATGTAACATAACTTAGCTAGCTAATGCGTGTAAAAGTGCATTGCACTCATTTACACTAATAACTATTTAATTCTAAGTAGGTTATTCAGTGTAATATTGGAATCAGCCTTGGTGAATCCTAAAAGTGTACTCATATTCAGTCTGACAAAAATGGTACCGACACTCCCTAGTAAAACTGCTTGTGTAATACTAAAATTCAGTGGTAAACACCCAGAAACAATTGAGAAACAGAGATAGAAATGCAAACATGTGTCAGACTTATCAGCATGCGTGACTGACATCCCGAGGTTTGCGGCTCCCCACCTGCTACACCATATAGTTAGACACAAGAGTTGCAAGTGAGAAGAAATGAGCAAAACAGGCTGCACATATATGGGTCGTGTGGTACCACACCCCGACCGCTCACTATATATATTATCCAGATTTTAAGGTCTTAAAGAAAGTAAGGTTCTTATTCACTTTATTCTAGGTTTATTCGACTCATAGAGATAAAATGCTAATAGTGTTATCCCAAAGACTGATTAAAATACTATACAAAACTGCTACAACATTAAAGTATAACCTTGTCACGGCTGCCATTCATCTAGTGAAAAGCAGTAACACTATGTGATCTTTCTCTTCCAGGGTGCTGGAAAAGACTATAAGTATTACCCTAAGTTTAATCAACTCTCCTGTAGTTTAAATACCAGCACTATTATCCCCTGAGTTAACTAATACCTTGCAGGTGGTGATCTTCCCCACTTTCGATCATGGAAAAGACTAGAGTAATACTGTTTATTTTATTTTTTATTGTTTTCCACTCTTAAGTGCTTTGCTTTTATTTTTACCTTTCATGTTATTTTTGCTTTTATTTATATAAAGCACACTGAATTGGCTTTATGTATGAAATGTCAAGGGAATGCTGGCATGGCCGGCTTAACAAAAGGAGGGATGGACACTCACTAAGTCTTACTCGAACAGAGAAAAAAGAGACTGTAGGGGAACGCAGTTTTATTTTTTATATATATTAGGGGTGGAGGAAAACTCGATTCTTAAATGCATCGCGATGCGGACGTGGACAATTCTGAATCGATTCACAAATGTCAAAAATCGATTTTATAAATTTTAATTTATAATGTGATGTTGACGGAACGCAAAAGGCGGAACTTGAAAGTGCGGAAGTGCAGCGCCCGGACAGTCTATGGCGGCACATAACAAAAACACAACTGGATGAGCAAGAAATCCGACCAGCACACTCTGCATTTAAAGCTAGGTTAGGTCAGGAGTCGACAACCCAAATGTTAAGAAGAGCCATTTTGTCCTTTCAACAAAAATCAAACCACCTTGAGAGCCACAACATTTAATGTCCAGTGTGTCTCAGTACGTGTTAATGTCCTAGTATAGGCTAAAAAATATGAACGAAAACGCAGACTTGCTTTGCTCTGCTTTAAGCTTTAGCCACTTTCTTCACATCTCCGCCAGAAAACTTTTCCTCAAAAGTAGATCAGTTTCTTGTAAAATGTCTCTCAACGTTCAACTGTTTTACAAGACTCATTCTCCAGCTTCTTGTTCGAATTTTCTCATTCCACCTTAAATTTTGCCTGAGGCACTGAATGTAAGTGCAGCACTATTTAAGGTGGAACGGGAAAATTCGAAAGAGAAGCCGACTTCATCTTCGCAACTTTAGTGTTTGACAGTCTTTTTAACATTCCAGGAAACCAACTGCAGTGCTTATAAATCAAATAGGTCCATTCATCTCCAAATGTTCGTGTTAAATCTATCTCTTTGCCTTTTCGTTAGCTACTAGCTAGGCGAGATTACATTGCTATGTGACCTGCAGTCTGCACGCCAGTTCTCAGTCGTTGTGAACCAGGGCTTTCGCGCTGTGTTGCACACATCCGGTCTCAAAGATATTTTACTGACACAGTGATCCCCCAACTCTCTACAACGAGACCAAAACCGAAGTTATAAAATCACTAAAGAAACGGGTAGGACAGCTGTAACATGTGCTGCGTGGACATCCATCACCACTGGATCTTATTTCACCGTAACAGTGCATTTTATCACAGATGAGTGGCAGCCAGTGTCTCATGTGCTCCAAACAACAGCAGTGAATGACAGCCTTCCAGTTCACTTGCCACATCACTTCCATTTGATTTATTGATAAAATATATTGGAAGTAAATTCATTATGGATCATTACAAATACTTTGTTTTAAAAGTACCAAGTCCTCACACAGTGAGAAAACAGAAATTCTGTATAGAAAAAAATAATCGATAATCGTTTTATAATCGCATGTTTCACACACATCGTACACGGATGTTGTGTGCCCACAAGAGCAAGATTAACCTACGACTTAAAGTTCTCTGCCATACTACTGTGTAAATAGTTCTTCCAGTTACATTTGCGCATTTACAAATGATTATTTTGCCAACATTGTGGTGAAGTTTAAGATTTCATGATGCACTGAATCATTTCCTAAAGAACTGCAATAGAACTGGACGGCTGTGTCTCAGAGACTCACGCCCCTATTCTGTACCATGTGCTCTGTAATGACCAGCAGCACACATGCCCTGCTGTGCCTCTGTGCAAAAAGCCCTGTGGAGAACATGCACTGAGACCACTGCCTGCCTGCTACAATCTTCTGTATCACTGCCTCATTTCACACTAAAACATTTTCTTGGGGATAACTGTCAGATTGCAACCAGAGCCAATTCATCTTGATTTGACTGCTGCATCTTGTTTTGCAAAGCACCTGGAAAGAGGGGCTCCTGTAAGAGCCTTCTAAAATAGACTAGCAGCATTATATAAAAACAGCTGCCTTAAGGGTTAAAGGTGCACTCCGATCACTTTGTGGTAAATAATCTATGCGTTGACATATGGTTTAGTTACTGCAGCATAATTTCAGGCAATTAGATTTGCTGAAATGAGCATGATCCATTATGGGTTTGAAAGTGCCGGAGGGCAGGAATATAGGCACCAGCCAGAAAAAAAGTCACATGGTTGCTGTTAATGTCTTTAGCATGGAGATAACCTTGGTACCAGACGCAGATACAACACTGGCCATTTGCAGGATGATTAATCATTACCTAGGGAACAGACCTGTTTCAGAGTGGTGTTTGTGGGTGAGTGCAGTCAACAGGCTTATGTGAATGTTTATGGACCTCCGAATGTGTGTGTTCCCTTGTGTTTGTGTGTGCAAACACACTTACAGCAGCACTGAGAGCTTGGGCCAGGTCTGCGATAATGTCCTCCTCATCCTCCAGTCCCACGGAGAGGCGAATGAGTGTATCACTGATGCCCAGCTCCATCCGCTCATTTTCTGGCACCGAAGCATGAGTCATAATCGCTCTGTTAAATGAATGGCAGATGTGAGGCATCAGATCACTGGACATATAGCCCTCTGTGGATCACTTACCTCTGTGCAAGCAAGTTACAGGAGATGTATGACAGATCAAATTTGGTTTTAAGGGTAAAATCATTTAGTTATAATGAAATCACATTTGCGTCCTCACACTTTTCAAACAATGACCTCGGCAAAATTAAATATACATTACACGCATACCATTTTGAACACAGGGCTTCTGAATCTGTATTGATGTTTAAATATTTAATAATCCCTTTGAAGAGTACCACCTACTCTAAACACAAGCTGTTTAGGGTTCAGAAAAAATAAGCCAAGCCACTAATCAGAAAGGTAAACACTGGGCTTGGACGTCAGTCACAAAATGCTAGTGCCCCCCTGTGGAATATTAAGATTCTGCACATTCACAACAGGCAGTACTTTATAACCGTCATCACTTCAAGGAATATGCATTCATCCTGGATATTAAATCCTGTTAGTTAAAGGGGCATTCCAGGCAAAAACTGAAGTTTAATATGTTTATTTGTCATGTTATGCAGTTTTCTGTAGTGCAGCATCATATTCTATCTAGCTACCTTGCATACTTTAGCTATTACTTTGTTGTCCTTCTAATCGGACATGTAATTTCTGTCATTTGACTTATCCAACCTCTCCATTGTAATGATGGTTTGAAGACAGTTACTACAGTTATACAGCTGCAATAAGGTAGTCAGCTTCCTAGCAATAACACTAGTTATCTGGCTTCCTTCTGTATTCACCAGCTTAGAAAAGAGAAACAAGACAGACAGGTAAATAAAAAGCACATTTCAAAAACAACATGCCCCCAAAATTCCACCCAAAAGTTGCAGTTTTTCAAACTTTCCTCCCACCTTCAAGATACATCATTTGAGGGGAGGTTTCTTAGTCTGGAAACCAGAAAATATCCCTCTAGAAACTAACGCAGCATGTAAGCACGTTTATATCAGATGTTAACGCATTTTTATTTTGGCTGGAGTGTCCCTTAAATAATTTGGACGCCTGTCAACTCTGTCTAATCTATAGTTCAGCCAATATTTAATGTTCAAAATTAAATCTGAAACTTCAGTAAAAAAAAAGCGAAATATACCATTAAAACGATGCAGTGAAATTAAATTATACGTTTGATAGGTGTTGGCATGGGGCACTTACGGATGTTCTGCCAGACTCTCATAACCTCCCAGACTTTCAGCAAGTGCAAATAACTGAAACACAAAAACATAAATCTGGTGAAAAACAATCTATAACACCTGGCACCAGAAAGATTTTGATTAAGCTACAGTTTCGTTTAGGGAACAGTGTAACTGCTGGGGGAGACAGGACTCATTATGCACACTTGTTTAATTGGCCCTCTGGACAATTCCATCTGTTCTAACTACTATTTCACAATTCTTTCCCCAAATCACCTTGAGGTTGCTGAGGAAAGCTGTGGCATGCTCCAGTTCGCCTTTAATGTAGAAGGTGATCATACCAGGGCAGCCTGTGCACTGTTTCTTCATTAGTTCATGTTGAGGGTGAGATGGCAGACCTGACAGAGGGAGACAACACACCAAGTTATTATATTCTACTCCTGAATTTATTAAACAGCCCCTTCTCCCAAAGCCATTCTCCCTAGGAAATAAAAACGGCTCAATGTATGAAGTATGACTATGTTGCCCCCTACTGGACACAGGTGTCGAAAGTGATTAAATTCTTTAATATTTCATGTGCTTAATCCGTACGAGGGCATAGACTTGTACAACTGTTAGAATTATCTGTTGTCTTCTGTGCTTGATTATCTCTTGTATGTAGCCTTGACTAGATGCATCATTTGGGAGAACCAGTCTGTACTAGTTTGTGATTCACAAAATCGGTGTACATTCAGAGAAATGGTCAACCTGTCATCCAACATCATCCAAGTCCAAGCATACTGTGTGTCAGTTATTTCTAGTAACGCCAATTAGAACACAATAGCACAATAAGCAAACCAGACCATAAAACAAAATTTGGATCAGAACTGAAGTTTTCCACCTTTTGGAAAGAATAGGTCAAGTTTGCGAGTCACAGTATGACGACAATTAAGAAAGGACCCATTACTAAAGGAGGATTCTGTCATTTTCGCAAAAATTTCTGCATTATGAAATTGTTAAGATGTAACCAAAGTCATTCAGAGTGAAAACTGAATAACAGGATTTAATATCCAAGATGAAACAGAGAAACTTAGCAAGACAGAATCGTTCACAATGACAGTAATAGGAACCAGACGTCCCAAGTCTTTATCAGCTCTACAAGCTACCTCACAGAAAGCCATCACATAAAATGAATAAGAATATGATGCCTGATGCCAGGCAGTGAGGTTGCCTGTTTTAAAATAGTTCTGAAAAAGGTTTTTGCTTAAAACATTTTTAAATACATTCATGGTAGAGTGGTACACAAAGACACTGCAAGGCAACCTAGTACCTAAACAAAACTTATTTTTTCAGATTTGACAATATTTGATGCCATTTTATTTTTTATCCACAATACATTGAAAGACTCCTCTATGTACCCCTGGTTCCCATCAGTATCACTATAAAGAAATCAGAGTCAGTAAGTTTCTCTTCAGTGTACCATTTCACATCAGACCAGTGAATAACTTGTGTACATCTCAACAAATGAATTATTCAGAAATGTGGCAAATCACTGGAATTCCCCTTCCACTTGCCTTGGAGTCTCTCTGCGAGTGTGTGCTATTAAGGGTTGGACAAACTCCCCCACAATGTCCAGCGCTTTTTAGATCTGAGACTTGATTTGCAAGAGCACTTAGGTAACACCAAATAGAAATATGAGATCACTTTTTTAATATAACGATTAATTGTAATTAGAGGATATTAACAGCTTTTAAAAAAAAAAAATACAACTCCTTTCCAATGATGCTACTGAAGATAAATTTTATGTGTTACTGCTGGACAAGATTATAGGCCACGAAAATCACTTTCATCACCTAAACAATCACCTAAAACTTTGAGGAAACTAAAACATGGAGGAAGTGCAGTTATAGTATAAAATTCATTAATCCAGGGCAAATCAATCAAATATTAATTTACTAGTACAGAGTAGTTAATACAAAACATTAATAAATAATCTATTGCACAACCATGTTTCATTATTTCCTTAACCACTTTATAATGAATGCAGTTCATATGCATCAGTCTTTACAGCTTTAAGATTATATTCATCTCAATCACCTGGGAAAATGACTTTTTCCACCCTGGGGTCAGCCTCTAGGAATTTTGCTACAGCCAAGGCGTTCTTGAAGTGTTGCTTCATCCTCAGGTGCAGCGTCTTCAGTCCCCGATTACACATGTAGCAGTCAAATGGGGAAGGCACACCTCCCAAAGCTGAGGATGGGCAAAAGGCAAGACAACAAAGAAAGTGTGTTTATAACCAACCATGTCTGGGGAAAAGATATATCACTGCAGACACTGCACAAAGCCTGCTATGGGCTAAATTCACCATCAAACTAAAACACACAACTCCTATGGGTTTAAATTCCAGTCATAGGGACTGCATATCCTGATTAAACCTGAATGTTCTCATCATATGATTACCAAGACTTTTACAAGTTAAGGCATGTGCGTTTCAAATAGGGAGAAAAAAATGCAGCACATAATGTCCCAGAACTGAGTCATAAAACAGTTACACAAGCAGCAACGTGTGTGGTCCAAGCACATCTTCACAAAGGAGCACATTTTTCCAGTGTCCTAAGAAGCACATATTGTCATAATGTTATAATGATGGTCCAATGCTAAGGTTGTCTGTATGGGCTTGGACATTCAGTTTTGAGAATGAAAAAATTACTTTCCTCCACAAGAATAAAACAACAGCCTTGAATGCACTGCCTGAAATTCAGCTTCCAGACAGCATCAATGTTCTGTAAAGTTTACTAAGAAAGAATGGTGTCCATTTCAGGAAAGAAGAATGGTGTCCATTTCAGGGAGAGGAGCCAATCCCACGCTGTTTTTTTTTTTTTTGACAAACTTCAACCCAGTTTAGTAAAGTTGAGACTCTAGAGGCTATTTGAGCTGCCTAGGTTTGTGGTTAATAATAATAATAATAATAATAATAATAATAATAAGAAGAAGAAGAAGATGATGAAGAAGAAGAAGAAGAAGAAGACAAAGAAGAAGAAGAAAAAGAAGAAAGACAAAGCAGGAGGCAGGAAAATAAGAATTTTGGTTGTATGAATCAGGTGTTTTGTAATTTACACTGGACGTCACAAGGATGAGACATTTATGAGTTCAAACATAAGGAAATACTGAGACTGAGAGACTGATGCAGAGACTGATTCTTATTATGTATCACTTCATAAAACAACACATTCTTTGCATTCTTGCTCAATTGACCAAAAAAGAAGGAAAAAAGATTTCAAGGTGCACATCTCCCCTTCTGTGAATAAAAAACAACAACAACAACAATCCAGGTGTCTCGAGAATGAAATGTCATAAGTGAAAAGTCCTTCTGAGAAATTTTATTACAGCAGATGTCTTTCTCCCACACTGATACCCTTCCTGACCCTACCAGATGCCAGAGTTGTCCTGTGCCACAGCTTGTAGAAGAAGAAATTTTGAACCCTTCGTGAAACTTATTTCACAACTGATGTAACGGATCAGTATCGGCAGCAATACTGAACTTATTATTAAACAAATCAGGTAACAGCCAGAGATGATATACAATTAATCCTGTTTTTAGTCAGAGCTCTTACAATATTGTGATTATGCATTATTCAGTAGCTTTGTGGTGAATCTACAGCCTTACATTACCTTACACATAGAAAAATGATTCCAAGGTATTTCACATAGTTAAGCATATTTTACACTGAAGAAGAAAAAAATGCACTGGTACCAGATTCACAAAAGAATCTTATGCAAACTATATAAATGGGTCTTCTTAAGCAAGAGAAATATTAGTCTCCTGGATAAATAAGATTTTTCTTTTGTCTCACCATTCTGTAAAAACTTCAGCCGTTCATAAAGGTCCTCACGACTGACAGAAATCAGCCCCATAACAACATCAGTGTGTCCTAAAAACAGGACAAATTTAGTTAGTTCATATAATAGTCACAAAATAAGGTAAACATTAAACTACACTTTGACTTATTAATTATATTTACCATTCATGTACTTTGTTGCAGAGTACATGCAGATGTCTGCTCCGAGAGCCAGGGGGCGCTGTACCAGGCAAACATCATCAAAGTCATATTAAAGAAGCAGCAAAAGGCCTAATTTACTGACACCAGTGAAGTTGGCTTTAAGGAAGATGACAAGATCATTTAGTGAAAATAAGTGCTTATGTGACTTGGTAAGGAGGTGAGTGTTGCTTTCATTTATCACAATCATCTGGCAAATATAACATTCCGACAGCTGTTCCAATGGACAAGAAACTGGAAATATTTATGACAATAACACAGAAGTCAAAACTTTGCTTCTTTAGTTGAAGTCAGATGTCATCTTGGTGGTGATATTCACTTTGTCCTTCTCAAGAATGGCCAGATCAGACGACCACTATTTAAACATCTAATTCATTCTGTCTTGCTACAGGGGACATGAAAACGGCTAAACTTTGTGTTTGCTACGAGCCACTAATGTTACAGATTTGAAATGTGCATTCAGAGTTTTAGAAAGGAAATGATGAAATTCAGCATGTGAGCAAAAGCAAGACATACCTGGAAGTAGGCTGACATGAATGTGTTGTCTACCACAACAATAATATCTTTGCTATATTCATGCGCTACATCTGAACAGGCTTGGATGTCCACAACCTTCATAGTTGGGTTTGTGGGAGTTTCAATCCACAACATCTACATGAAACAGAAAGAAGGCCACATTAAGGTTGGCAGTCTTTTGCCAGAATGATGCAACAGTGTGCTTCTATTACCTTATGTAAATGTGAGTCAGTTAATGTGAGTCACCCCTCCCCCCTGTATTTAGTGATGAATCATGGTAACATAGTATTAAAGGTAGAGCACCAGACGTCTTTACACAACCAAAGAGGAAGTAATCATAGTCACAGTGCAAAAACATCACTCTTATGCAATCTAAAACAACTGTTCCTTCAGACCAAATGTCCAAGAGGCACACCTTTGTATTAGGCTTAAGAGCTGCCTTTAAAACTTCAAGCTTCGTGAAGTCAGCAAAGGAGATATCATAGCCAATTTCTGCAGCTACTCTTCGGAAATAGCGATTGGTTCCTGGTGAGGAAAATAAGAAACAAATAAAATCCCTTTATCATTTTTGTCACTTTCTTGTGTGCTTATGCAACAGAATAAAAAGAATTATATCGCGTAGCATTTGCCCACCTCCATAGACATCGTTCATGCACACGATTCCATCTCCAGATTTCAGCATGTGAGTAATGGTCACAGTAGCAGCCAATCCAGAAGCAAGAGCTACGCCTATCAAAAACAGCATAGTCATCATTAAAAAGAATCTACCAAGTTCTCTATTTACTTACGTGACGTTACATAATGGAGATAAAGCAGCAAAATTAGCAAGCAGGTAGGTGTGGTATATGTGTGTTGTTAAAAGCAGGTTACTGTGTCTTTAGTTCACAGCAATATAGACCTGTTTAAGGTTAGCAAGCTTGCGATAACTGGTTACACTGGTAGCAATTTCTGCTGTACACAATGTGAATTCAGTAACAATACAACGTACTTTACACTGATGATTTATCTTGTGCTCATAAATAATTACAAAGCTATCAGGGTAATAGCTGACTTACAGTACTTTGCTCCATCCACAGCAGCAACCGCCTTCTCAAGACAGTTACGTGTGGGATTTCCACTGCGGCTGTACTCAAAACCCTGGTGATTAAAACAAACTATGTTAGATGGAAACCAACAAAACACTTTGAGAGCACAAACTACTTTTAACTGTTCTGCACTACATTTCCATCAGTGAAAAAAAAATCAGTTTGCATCAAATTGAAAAATGTAGAAATATTATCAGTGTCTGTATACGGTTTGATGTAAAATGCGGCATTCTAGAGTAACTAACAGAGTCAAAATTGTTGCCAGCAGTGTTGATAGGAACCAGACGTCCAAACCGTTTAACGTCTAAATGCTATCTCAAAGAAAGCTATTACATTAAATGGTTACAAATATGTTGCCTGATGGTGGAGACATTTTACTTTGACATAAGGGTTTGGCCTCTAATGTGTTTTTAACATCCATTCAGCAGAGAGGAACATGAAGGACATTGTTAGGCAAGAGTAGCTAAAGATTTTTTTTAAATTTACCACCGTTTTATCATCATCTACACTGCATATATTACTCACAAAACACAGAAGACACACGTAGGTCTGTTGTTTTAGATAGTAATGGTATGGCTATATTTGCATTGAAAAAGTGATCCCTGGTCCCTTCACCACCACTGTAAAGTCGTGCCACTCTGAATGATGTTGTTTTCATCTCAACATTTGAATTATGCAGATATTTTGAAATATCAGTGGAATTTGCCTTTAGGAAAGACTAAACTGTTAAAAAACTGAAGCTACAATATGTCCACTTTGATACAGAAGCATAAACCTTTACATAGTTGGCAGATTTCACCAGTAATCTAGGTCTTTGTTTAACCTCGGCTAACACTTGAAGTTACACATCTATACTTTTCCACTCAGTCATCATTATAATGTATGTTAGAGTACAAAGGACAATGAGGTGTAAGGTCTACCGCTGTTAATGTCTGGTTTTATATATCACCTCAGTGAACTTCAAAAATGTACCTTTGATGTCCCAAAACTCAAACGTCAGCCTGTGCTGAACTGACCTGTGAGCAGCTGCAAAGGTCTTTGACTAACTCAGTTGACTGCTAAAAGCAGAATACCTTCTTTTGTCCTCAACAACAAACACATCTCGCCTGCTTTTAAAGGGGAACTCCACCAATTTTTCAAAAACTCTACATAATGAAATTGTTGAGATGTAAACAAAGTCACTGAGAGTAGTTTGATGTTTAGTGCTCCATTTTAGAGAAACTTGCCGAGTTGGAATTGTACATAGTGGTTTATTATGATTAAGTTTTGGCTTAAAATGCATTTTAATCCATTTCATTTAATCCATGTACGGCACAGAGGTACATGAAGGGTGTTGTAAGGCAAAATATTATTCACTTACTTTTTTTTGAATAAGTAAATAATATCTTTTTATCTGAAACTTATTTTTTTGTCAGATTTACTGTTATTTTACCATGATCAACATTACATATAAAAACTCAGAAGGCATGTTCACCAGTGGCTTTAGACAGTAAGTAAACGGCTATAGTTGTTTTAGACATTAAGAACCCTGGTTCCTACCACCACCATCGCCAAGAAATCAGAGTCTGTAAGTTCCTCTACAATTAACCATTTCACCTCAAACAACTCTGAATGACTTCATTTGCATGTCAAGGATAGAAGTTTTCAAAAATTTTGAAAAATTGGTGGAATTCTCCTTTAACTCTCCCTAGTGGGCAAAACCTACACAACCAAGCTGGAAAGGAAGGATAAACTAGTGAACGTTCAAAATGACACATATACTGTGTACTGTACAGCCACTAATGGTGTTCATATGAGTAAGACACGGTCCCTTACAGATATAGTTAGCTAAAAAAGGGGGAGTTATGGAATGAAGGAGCACGGTAGCTAAAAGTGACTACATACGGCTGAAATAGGAAATATGCGCCGCAAACTAGTTTCTATATCACAATTATGGTATACAGCCAGAACTAAAAAGGCAGGTATTGAAAATAAAACTCTGGGGTCCACTACATCCACCCCTCTCCACACCTAGCTAACTGTTAAGCCCAAATAAACACGCTAACGGTCATGTTACCGTTACTGTTCACTGCTGTCCATCTTTAAACTCCCCTTCTGAACTACGGTGAGCCAGGACAGGTCATGAATCTGCTGTTTTAAGAACGAAAGGTCACAAATCTCTGTCTGGGGCTCATGATGAGGAGCAGCTAGTTTAGCCGGCTCGAGTTAATCACATCTTCATGGCTAATGACCACAGAGCTGGCAGCACATCCGGTCGCCTACAGTTACAGAAAGCCGGGTAAGCAGAGCAGCTCGGGCTGATACAGAGGGTTCACGCTATTTCCGGTGACCACCCCCATGTCCCCCATCCCTAACGCCTCCAGTCAGTCACTCACCGCATGCTTGCCCGGGCCGTACTGTTTGAAGGTGGTGGCGAGTGAAATTGGAGGCACCACGGCCATGGAGCTCCACTGCTCTGGCTCCTGGCCGACATGGATCGCGTCCGTGGCGAAGGACCTGAATTCCTGCTGGAAACCGGCCGCCCAGTCACTCTTTTCTGAAGCCATGCTTTATCCTGACCGCACCGGCAGCGCACACTGAGACCAGCCGAACACACGCAGGACCGGTAGTTTAAACAGATCAACGCCGTTAAAATTTAACCCGAGCGTGTGGAAACATGTCTTTTACCCACACTGCGCGACGGCCATTGGTGAGCGCGCGGGGGCGCGGTGTACCACGTGACCCACGTTTACGGAGGTGCGACGTCCCGATGATGCAACACGCTGATGAAAAGTGAGCATGTGGGTCCAGCACTAGTGTCTCATCTTAATCTGAGCTCGCAGTGATACGGCATTTATAGTAAGTCATGATGCAGATACGGGCCTGCTGAGTCTGCCCTGCTCACTGCTGTCAGCAGCGTGAATTGACAAGTTCCTTTGACTTCCATAGAATATGAACAAGAACAAAATCATTAAATATAATGAAAATAAACAAACAAATAAAATTGATAATGACTTTAGGAAGAAGTAAAGAAGAAAATAGCAACCAAAAAGACCCTCCTCCTGCTGTCACCATCATATTTTTCTATCACTTGTCAGTGAACTTTATCTTCTCTGTTTCTCCATCTGAAGTCAGCCTTTTTCTCATTTGAATTAACCAGGTAACATTTGAATACATTTTTTGTCTGTATGACTGAAATCACACTGTGCACCTATTGTTGTGTTTAGGGTGTTTCACATTACTTTATAAACTTAAAAATGCTTTAAAATGCTATGCAGAGAAGAAAACATTGGGCAAAGTTTTTCTTAAATGTGTTCTTGAGAAAGGCCCCAAGAAAAAGTTTACAACAGATTCATGATGTGTTCTTAAACCACAGAACTGTTTTCACCTTTGTGATCATGAGTGTGTGTAGATTCTGTTCTTACCTAAGAACAAATCCCAAATAAGAAAACATCAGTGAATGTTAGAATCTTTGTAAAAACTGCATTAGTGGGTTTTAAGAATAAATTTCTCCTTAAGAACGGTTGGTGAATGTGGCCCAATGTAACATCAACATTTCAATGCAGGTTTTTCCATCTTGGCCACAGCACTACTCTGTTCGCACATAGATATGTCCAAAAGTATCCAGATGTTCCTTCTAGCTAGTGGATTCAGCTACTATAGGGTGCACTCATTGTGTCTCATTCACCAAAATATTTCCAAGTTTTTTTTCATTTGCTCTTGAGAAAGGTCCTAAGAAAAAGTCTACATCAGATTCATGTGTTCTTAAACCTCAGAACTGTTCGTGTAGATTCTGTTCTTACCTAAGAACAAATCCCAAATTAAAAAAAAAACATTATATAAAACGTTGGAAAACTGGGTAAATGGCTTGTAAGATGAAATTTCTTCTTGAGAATGATTAATGATTGAGGCCCAATGTTGACACAGGTGTCTATCCGAAATGTTTCACACATAGGTCCAAAAGCTTGAACATAAAGACCAACTCATTATGAGCTTGTTAATTAGCTGATTGGTTGTATTAGAACAATAAAAGCACTTAAATGTGCTCCAGGATCAGGTTGGGAACCACTGTAATACACCAATACAGATAAACTCCATCATTATGTGTGGGGAAGAACAATACATCTGTGTACTGTGTAAACACATTCAGATCCACTATCACTATCAGGAAGTTTCTTTGACATGAAAATAAAGCCTGTACAGATGGCTGTACAGATCTACCTTACAAACAAAATGGCAGTGCAGTGAAGAGAACATTCATTTACCCGTTGAAATAAGAGATGCTAAAGAACAGGCTTTTACATGTCAGAATGCATCAAGTTTTGAGAGCACACTAATTCAGAAATCACCGTGCAAAGTCACCCTTTATAAATGATCACCCTTCATTTATCCACTTTCCAGTCAAAACAGACATTAAGCACAAGTTATTCATTTTTTTGGAAGATATTTTTATAGATTTGATATAAGATAATCTATTTTGCATAAGGAAGGGGAAAGTCAAAATAAAATATATGAAAAAACAGGAAATTCCAACATAAGTTAAATAAAATATGAAAAGATATGTAGAAAATGGGACATGCAAGACCTGGTAGACCACCAAAATTGTCACTATCAGATAAAGAGTACTTAAAAGTTTTTTATCTGTGAGAGAGAGGAGAAAATCAAGCTCCACTCTTGATTCAGATCTGAATCAGGTGTCTCAGGTCTTTCTGACTATCCTTCCACTGTGAGAAGACAACTCAGCGCTATGAGTCTGAAAAGATGTGTAGCTGTCATGAAGCTGAGAAAAGGAGACAAAAAAGAAGAAACTCTGCAAATCAAACAAATAAGCTACTGGTGTTTTTAGAACAATGGACTGTCCAACCCTCAACATCACTGAATGTGTTTGGGATTATTTAGATCGTGAGAAGCAGACAATGCAACTGACTTCTAAGACTGCTAACAGAGTCAGACATGTTATCACCAACTAAACATCCTGCATGCAAATGTCTGAGCCTGCATAATGAGCCTTTCCTGTTGGGCCTGTATGTGGTTTCAGTAGGATTACGCCCACATGTTCATGGCTCTGTTTATCAGTGTACAAATGCAGGAAGAAAGTCTTCTGCGCACCAGCTTCAGAACGAATAACCAAATGATGTAGGCCACTTGTTCCGCGAAAGCTGGTAAGCTTGTGTGAGAGAAGGACTGCATTGCACAGTGATGGAGCTACTGCATGGCGCATGGGAGAAGTTTTAACTCACAGGACCCTACAAGTACCGCTGTGTTTGTTGTTGACCCAAACATAACGCTCAACATCCCCAGCTGATAACATTTTCTACGTCAGAATTTTGACCTTCGGCATGCTCTTTAAACTTGTGTTGGAGAGAGCGCTCGTGTGACAGCGGCATCAGTGGAGCGCCAAGATAAACAAGTTCAGGCAGGCTTCCTTCAATCTTCCAGGGCAAATTTTCTTCTTTTGACATCATTATTTTTGTCAGAAGTGGGTTGGGCTGGGTGCCATTGGAGTTAATTTAATACAGGAGATGAAGAGAATGTGGCTGAAGGTGCTGCTGCTAAGCTTTATAAGTTGTTTTGCATGTCAAGGTAGGCCAAAACATCCACATATAAGGCCTCTTTTATATATTGTAATCTGCAGTTCTGTTCCCTTCTTTTGACTTTATGGTCACTCTGTTTCCACTTAGCTGACACTTGTGTTGTTGGAGTCTTTGGGGAATCAGTCTTCCTGCCCTGCCTCTATAATGGACGAGAGGATTTGACATCTTTAAACATTTCATTTGAGTGGAGAAGAGGTGCTGAGGTGGTGTACAAGGTTCTGTGGACAGAAGGGCACGAGAAGAGAATCAATATGGATGTCAAGGACAGGATCTCAGTGTCCTCTTTGGCACAAACTGGAAATTTCACAATGAAGCTGAGTGATATCAGATTCTCAGATGCCCAGAATTACACTCTGCATCTCAACTTTGTTGATCATGGAGATAGTGTCTTGATATGCATGGTCTGCCTCAATGTTGCAGGTAATACAACAAAATCTATGCTTATTTCATTTGTCCATATGTGTTTTATACCTATGAGCTGACTAAACATTTGTGGATTTTGCCTTCAAACTCTAAAGGACTGAAACTACCATTCAAAACTTTGAAATCGCCATTCATTCATTTGGAATCATTGGTACTTTGGTACATCTATAATAAGATTCTAATATGATGCTAATACTCTACAGCTTATAGATTTCAACTAATTAGTAGGAAACTACTAATTCAGAAATTTTAATGTGTCCAGAATAATGAACAAAGCTGAACATGATTCCTTAATAAACAAAAAACTCTCTTGACATTGAGAATGAAGTTAACATCTACAACACTTCGTATTTCAAAAGAGGTAATTAAAGAAGATAATTTATGAAAAAATGACAGTAAATAGTTAATTTCAGTATATTAATGATCACTTAATAATTTCTTGGTGGTACCAAAACACTTGAAATATTAAATAAAACATCTTAAAATATATTATGGTGTCTAACGTATAGTATTTCAATTTATACTGTGTAAGTTATTATTGAATTAAACAACAATTATTAATATGTCTAGTGATTCCAAACATTTGAACAGTGGTGTACGTCACTCACTTGCACTACTTAGATATTAGTTGCATAGTAATTATCATATGATTCATAGTAGTTACTATAGTTTCATAGTAGTTACTAATAAGTGTTGCAATTAGTAACTGCATAGTAGTTTATATTAAGCAGTTCAATGGGTTAAAATCAGTGGTGGACGAAGTACACAAATCATGTACTTGAGTTAAAGTAGAGATACCCAAGGTAAAATATAACTCCAGTAAAAGTAGAAGTCCTCCCTTTAGAAATCCACTTGAGTAAAAGTACAAAAGTATTTGCCTTCAAATGTACTTAAGTATGGAAAGTACTAAAAGATTAATTATGACTCTAATGTCCTATTACCATTTTTGTAACAAGACTCTTGCTTCATTAACTAATTTTAGGTGAAAATACTCCAGTGTCACTCTTGGTAAACCAATCTTTTAATAGAATGTCATTCATTAGTCTGTCACTGATGTCTATTAAAATTATCAAAAACACTAAACACTGAAAGCAAACAATTTCCATTAGGTAGAACCAAGTGGCTATGAAATAACTTTTTGCAAACAAGCAAAGTTTCAGTTTAAGATTTATTTGCAACTTAGTTACAAGTTTAAGTTTAATAAAAACTTGCTTTAAACACAGGTTCACAAATGAGTTTCCTTTACTATATTGCATCTGTAGGTCTCTGTTCATAAACATAAACTAGCAAAAGTGAATTTACTATAAGCCAAAAGGAACAACAGATTTCGCACAATGTAGTGGAGTAAAAAGTAGGATATTTGACTTTGAAATGTAGTGGAGTGAAAGTAAAAAGTCACCCAAAATGGAAATACTTCAGTAAAGTATAGATACACGAAAAAACTACTTAAGTACAGTAACAAATTACATTTACTTAGTTACTGTCCACCACTGGTTAAAATACACCCATCATCAAAAAAATAGTTGCACCCAGAAGGAAGTGTCGGATTGCAATGCTATTCTGAAGGAAGATAAAGGTTACCAAGAACAATAAATGATTACAAATTTAGACTGATGTGGGCAATATTTAATGAGCTACACATACAGAAGTAGTGTCTTTCACTATGGCGTTGGGCTGCCATGTTTGCTAACGCAACATGCCAGATGTCTCGACATGGAGTTGTAGAGGTTCCTAATGTCCTAATGGTGTCCTGCGATAATTCATCCCATGCAGCTTGAATATTCTTACGCAGTTCCTGCAGATTTTGTGGTAGGGGTGGAGTGTTGATAGCACATCTAATAGCGTCCCACACATTTTCTATAGGGATAGGTCTGGCGATGCAGCTGGCCATGGCATAATATCTGTGTCCTCAAGGCAAACTCTTGAGACGGCAGCAATGTGCGGACAAGCGCTGTCCTGTTGGAATAGTGCACCAGAGTGTGCGTTTAGAAAAGGTAGGGCCACTGGTTGCAGGACCTCATTACCAGGCCTTCTGGACATGTGACACGTGACAACAAACCGTTCATCTTGGCGCTGACCATGGCATGACACCATTGCAGACTCTGGCGACATTGACATGGTGTTAAGGGCAGTCATCGTAACAGTCTGCGTGCATGTACTCCTGCGTCATGCAGCCGTCTGCCAATGGTGCTCACACTAACAGGTTGACTCATGGAGGGCTGCTCGCTGAATCGTGGCTGTTGGGTCACTCTGCGCATGTCAGACAATGCATTCTATCCCCTGCCGCCAACAGCGTGCCATGTTAACAGTCAGTCAGGTACAGCAATAAGGCCCGTCCTTGCTTACGTCACATGCACAGCCTAGCATGAAACTTGAATCGTTTGCATGTCTTACAATTTCAAACCTAACCACCAAGTTTCATTCCTGTAAGATGATTCCTTTTGGGTGCAACTATTTTTTTTAACAATGAATGTAATTCTTAGACTTTAGGAGTATAACATCACAAAGCATTTTATTGTATCATTCAAAACGAGCCACTTAATTTATTACGCAGGGGGATTGAACCATACAGTCAACAAACTGGATCAAATGAAGTATTTATAAAGTCATTTTAACACTGAATATATTGCATGAAGTGTAATAAAAACAAAGCTAGCATGCCTCCCTCCTCTAAAAATATTGCTTCCTCTTTGCCTCAAAATTGAGAGCAAGAAGGAATAGCAGAGTGAGTATTAAACCTGAGTCACTACAATGCAAGTAGGCCTACTGTATGAGGCAGTGTTTATATCTTCGTTGTGTAGCACTACATTTAAGGCACTATATTGATAATATATACATAGTATATTGTATAATTAGTGTATAATATAAATACACTAATACCTGTGTAACTTCAGCATTCAAGTATAATAAATCCAGCAGGTGGTCAAAATTTGACGAACTACATTCACATGTGATGTGAGTCTCTTAGGTCTGATCCCAATCAGACATTCCTGCACATGTTCTTATGAAGCCATTTTCAGTATTTAATGGAGGAATGGTCATATCATCATGATGCTATTTTCTGACTGATTATAAGTATCATCCTGTTGTTTGGGGCAGATGGTGTGAACTTCAGTCCAGAACGTAAATTTGCATTCATATGGATACTCAGCCTTGTTCTGTGTGTGCTGGTGACTGTGCTGGTGACGATAGCTCTGTGTTTCCAGAAGAAATGGGACAGGCAGGCTAGAAGAGACTGTGAAGGTAATGGGGTCTCTTTTAAAGTCAAATGTGAATGGACACTTCAGATCCATACAGTGTTTATTAATAAGACAATTGTATATATATGCTGGCAATACACTGCATTATAAGGAACGGTGCTTCCTTATATAACGATGGTTATTCTGGAGCATTTATGTGTTTGTTTTCAGATGATTCAGACTGGGAGGATACAGAAATGATCATGATGGACGGGAAGTATTTGGATGAACTGCCTAACAGAGATAGATGTGTCATATAATCACCAGCTGTGAGTCACTGAGTGTCCCTTTACATGTTATTGTCACGGTAGGTGTGATGGGTCAACTCTATGACACACTTTACAATAAGAATACTTTTATAAAGCGTTTATGATTTCAAAATTAGTTTATTAATGGTTAGTATTTAGGTCATAAACACCTGCAAAACATTAAAAGGCAAAAACAATCAGCAGTTGTAACATAAATAAAAAGAGCAGCAGTGAACTATTATTTCTGATGAATATGAATATCTGATGAAGCTGACAGGTCTAATGCTGCCTGATGGAGAAGATAAAGTAAAATAAGTACCCAGCAAGATCTGAGGTTAAAGATCTGGCTCACTATGGGCCTGTATTCAGTGATCTGACTACTTTTGGGTTTCACCTGACCGCATGAAAAGCCAGGTATAAACACCCCCAGGACACATTGTAATCGGATTATGATCAGATCGATTAAACCACATTCAGAGGAGGGCAGAGACGGATCATGAAAACATTTAACACAAGTGTAAACTGAATGCATTTTCATTATCCAGCATTATGGGAGCGGAAATGCCTCTGCTAAGCGCTGCCTAGCCAGTGAGAACATATCATTTTCAAGGATAAATAGCAAAATGAAAGATGGAGGCTACAGAAGGCTGGAGATATCCATAACCAAGAGCTTTGTCACACTCTCAGTTGATGAAAGTGTCCAAGCCAAGCTTGGTGACTTGTATCATAACATGGGAGAAGTAAACAGAATCGGTAATGACTTATGTGTTGATGTGCTGGGGACACGTTTTTTTGAAAATGTGTAAATGGAAACGTGTGAAAGTTTATCCAGATAAAATCCAGACATGAAACACACGTATATCGCTGTTGTCAGAAAAAAACCTTGTATGTCCATTTTTGACATTTGCCCTTTACGTTGTGTGTAAATTTCATGATGAATGGACTAAAGAAGCAGCCCAAAATGATCTGGAAAAAACTCTGGTTCCATTGACTGACATTAAAAGTAAAGTATGGTTTTTCCTTCTCCTGTAAAGTTATCATTTTGGAGATACAAGGTTTTCTTCTGACAACATCGATATGCAAGATGTAAGCTCTATTTGGCAAGCAACCGATTGCCCTTTTAATTAATGTGTTATGACTGCTTATTAATGACTTTTTAAAGCTTTTTTCTTAAAACTGATAAAAGTAGCATTACTGAGTCAGGAGAAAAAAAAGGACATTCTAAAATATTGTGTGTGTGTGTGTGTGTTGCTGCAAGTCACCCTGTAACACCTGAAATAATATTTTAAAAGTCAGAGGCGATGGAACAGATTTTGCAGCTTTTTGGACCATGTCATGCATCTATACGTATTAACGTCACATGCACAAGTCAAAAAAAGTTCAATGTATAGGTCTTAAAATGCAAATTCAACATTAAAATGATGAAGATTTGATGACAATAGTAGATAATTCACTTACATCCTCAAATGACACATCCCGCACCAAGTCAGGTTTTGACGCAAGTTCTCTTCGAACACTCTTTCAACACGCTCGCAATCATCAAATTCGTCCATTCAGGGAAGGGGTCCAAGGTACAACCGACATTACAAAATGTTCTTCTGAACTCTGCATGCAATTACACATCTCCACCAGAGAGGTCTCCAAATCCCCAAATCTTATATAGTGCAGTTTTAAGTGTATATGATCTGAATAACCATTAATAAACTAATGTTAAACCATTTATAAACCCTTTAAAAGTGAGTCTTGGTGTAAACTGGTACCATTTTCTTGTTCCATTTTCAGAGACACTGCCCATTGACACTATATCACTACTGTACACTACATATATCACTGCTAAACTGTATTTATTAACTTTAAAACAGATTGTTTTTAAGCAATCTTTAAAACACTACATAACAGAATTATTACCTATTTATTTTGAAAAAAAAAAAATACTATTAACTACAAATAGGAGGAACCCTTTCAGGTTCAAGGCCTTTCTTTCTCTGTTCCAGTCTCATCTTCCTTGTTTTTTCCTAACTCTGCCTCCTTGTTACTAACTAAATCCACCTATGTTTTGCTTGTAGCTCTGCCCCGTAATCAGTGTTCCCAGAAGTGTCTTGTCACTTTTTTGCATATTTATACTGCTTTCCTTGCTGTTGTTCCCATCGTATGTTGTTATTTGTTTCTGTCTGCTGGGTTACAGGAAGCTTGTAAATATTAAACATGTGCATTGTGCTAATAACTGTGTAAATCATTTCAAAGTGGATTAAAGATTTTCATCTTTTTTCTAGAGACATAGTTTATAACTTTTGTCATATTGCGTAAGTGGTGTTCTCTGGAACATATCCAACATAACCAAACGTTAAGTTATTAACAGACACAGAACAGACATGCTGGATGTATTAGGGTTACTTATCAATCGAATCAGCTCATAACGTCTCACCAGTGATCCAGATTTATGACTGATCCAGATTCAAAATGGAAACATAACTGATTCAAGGCTGAAATAACATGAAAGATAATTACCATTTTATCAAATATGTCTTAGACTTTTATGTGCTGTAAATAACAAATTACTATTGAGAAATCATGTAATGTAATTGTGAAATATCTAATTCCAGGCATGCCCCATGATAGAGCTAAACCTGTGCCATCAGTAGACTTAGTCGGTCAACTTTACTTATCAAATGTGTAGCAAAGTCAAGCAGACAGAGCATCTGGCTTTAGCAGTGACCTCATCCTGTCAGCTCCAAAATCTCTTCTCGACACAACTCAGCCCTCCTGAACAACACTGAGATTGTAGATGTCGTTACGTCTCTGCGTTGTTATTGGGATCTGTTGACGCACATCCGCCAGGTACTGCAGGTCTGCAACAAGAAGATAGATAGATAGATAGATAGATAAGTAAATAAATAAATGTAAATTTAAAATTAAGCTTATGATTGTGAGCACTTGTAATTAGAGGTCACAGGGAAATATATTTTTTACACATTCTATATGTAACAGATCTATAACACACAATTTACTGAAATTCTTTATTACTACTACTTCATATGATCAAGATTAGCAGAATAAAATCAGTGGAATCAGTTGCTACTGTGGACTTACATTTTAGGTTTAAAGAACTAGAGAAACTCACCAATGTCTGCATACACAACGGCCTCTTCTGACCCTGCTTTTGTGATCACTTCACCCCTGCATGAGCACAGAACACATTCACTATGGTAACTTATTCAACTTATTTCACTCCACATCGCTGATGTCGACCTGTGTCAGTGTTTAAACTGCTAAGGTTAACACACATGCAGAACTGACCAGGGGTTAACCACAGAGCTGTGACCCCAGGCCACATAGCTGGCGCTCTCATCTCTTGCTGGTGAAGCGGTGGCTACATAGACCTGGTTATCCACAGCCCTACAAGAGCAAAACACAATGACAAACACAGTCACACAAGAAACACACAGAATAGTGCAGAATTTAAAGCACCAATTCTACTCATGTGGTTTCTGACAGTATGACACAGTGTTTTCTACAATGGCAGACAAAAGTAATGCTAAATACAGTAGCAGTCACTTTAATTCAAATACTGACCGTGCTCTTTGGAGCAGCTCCCAGTGGGCCGGACCTGTAGTCATATTGAAGGCGCCTGGATATACCAACAACTGACAACCTACAGAGAGCAGCAGGTAGAGGAACTGCTGTAAATACAGACACTTCTTCTTTGGATTTATATTAATTTTCCACAAATCTCTCCTCCGTCATACAAGTTCTTACAAGTTCCTGACAGCAACAGCCACACCACCTGAGCCTTGTCATTTGCAAATACCTCCACAAGTTTACTGTTTTACATACAGACATGCCTCTGTACACCAACAACTGTATCAGTGTCTAATTCTATCAGTCTGTGACAAAAATCTATACCTCTACATCTGTGGCTCATCTTAATCACTACAACCAGTGTTCCAAGTTTACAGCATTCTCAGCTAAGCAGCAAGCTCATGCTTATGAGTGGACCGATGCCAATATGCCATATTTTTCATGTACATACCTCTACAGAGAACATACCTCTGCACATGTTAATGCACAATTACTGTTTATTTGCTGAATTTAACAAAAAATAAAATAAAATGTGGCATTGGGAAAAATTATGGCACATTTTAGACTCACAAGTTAGACTCAAATAAACAGAAACTGTATACTATTATAAAGGGAAAAAAATGCCATATTTAAGCGTGTTCTCTGTAGAGGATGTGTTAACTTATTTTTAGTTTAAAAAATTGACAAAAACAGGAAAGTTGGCCTGGGGTGCCCAAACGTTTGTATACATCTGAATGCACATGAAAAATGTTGCATATTGGCATCGGCCCATAATCATCATAAGACAACATAAGTATAAGCATGAGCTTCTTTAATTACCAGGGGTGTTCAAACTTTTGAATACAACTGTATTGCCATCGCTGATACTAATGCAAGTACATAAACATTTTTAGTATAAGTTATTTAGATTAGCGAAAGCACATTCACCCACCCTTCAGACTACAGTCAAGTGCACTTTAGCCTCATACGCTCTGCCCATAAAGGTATGGACTGTCTGATGACCACTATAGAGATTCTGTCAGTTCTGATTCACTACCGACACATCTGTGTGTACGTACTTCTGTGCACCAGTTTAACCAACTTTTGCCAGCGGTTACCTGCTCTGTGTGCTGTGAGTCTGTGGTTGTTTTTTTTTTGCATGTCAATCAAGTGGGCCTTTTCTGTCAAAGTAGGTGGATCCTTCACCAAATTAAGCAACAAAAACACCAGAATCTCTCCTATGTCAACATATATATTGCAACAATTTTAAAGTTCCTCTAACTTACCTTTCTTGGCATAAATCTGTGCAAGCTCTGAAAAGCGTATGTCGTAGCAAATCCCAACTCCAACTTTACAGTATGCTGTAAGAGAAAAATGGGAGATGGTGGAATAACATTAAATATCAACCACAGAAACGTAACCATGAAGAACCAGCTATAGTGAACACTCACGGGTTTCAAACATGGATAAGCTGCTCCCTGGACTTAATGTCTCAGACTCCTGGAAGCGTATTTTTCCCGGAACATCAATGTCAAAGAGATGGATCTGTAGGGAGATGGTATAGACAGCAGTTTAAGGCATAACACATTAATGTTATGACAGTGCTGTATATTGGGGTTGGTTGTATTCTTATCTTAACAGAGTTGTAACATTTGTTAGCTATTAACATTTTTTCATCCTGAGATGTTTTCAGTTTGAAGTTTTTCCTTTAATTTTCTTTTACTTGTGCAATGAAGTGTGATGGTATAAGTTGAAATGTAACCAAGATGTAGCTGCTGACAGGTGTTCTCTTTATCATTTACCAATAAGATTATACACAGTAACTACGTAACAGCAGGATTTAGTATGTGACAAGGATTTAGTATGTGACAGCAGAATATAGCAAAATATTACAAAATATTCAGTAACAAAAACTGATTTGGGGCCAATCCCATTTCACCCCTCGCCCCTACCACATAGCCCTTACCCCTCTGTTTTGTGTGTTCACAACTAGGAGCGAGGTGTCCCAGTTTTTGTTGAGATAGAGGGAAGGGTGAAGTGTTAGGTTTTTCAGAGGCACACTCCAAACGGAGGGTATGAGAAAAAAAGAAAAACGGGCAAGATGGCTGCACAAGCGACCAAACCCCCCCCCCCCACAAATGTAAGTATTTTTGCTGTTACAAAAATTATGATAACCAGTATATTAATCGCTATTAATATGCTGATGTCTCAGTAGCTAGCTAGCTAAATTTCCCGTTCCACCTTAAATTCCACTTGGAATGGGAAAATATGAACATAAAGCTAGCAAATAACTGACTTCAGCTTCATATCACCAAAGAAATAGGGGTGGGCGACAATAAATAATTCTCTCATCCCCCTTTTTCAAGGCATATAATTCCTTAAATTTAACAAAAAATGTTAATGAAGTAATGTTCTTTTTATGTTGTCCCATTTTGTAGGGGAAGATTTCAACCACTACCCCTTGTAAATCATTCCAAGTGGCAAGATGACACTTAAAACAAGGAGTTGGGGTAAAAATAGGACATGGGATTGGTGCTTAGTCAACACACAATTAGAAGAAGTAAAATACAGAAATGCAGACACAAATTTTTGTATAATTTTTAGTGTGCCAAGCTTTAACTGATCACAGCTGTATCGTTTGGAGGCTACAGCATAAGAAATAGTAAGCTTTTTTATATTCATACAAGTACCAACATGCACAAGCACATGTCAATTAACAAAAAACAAGAAATTTGGTTTAAAAAAAAACTTTTATAGATCTACTTGTCATCATGGTATCGATGGTTTGTTAAAGGGTAAATTAAAATAGCATTTCTCTAGCATGGTAACACACACTGACCTTCCTGTGTTTGACCAGTAGCTTACCATCAGGACCAAAAACTGAGCAGGTGTTAAAAAGCTTTCCCCCATCCTCCTCTGGAATGGAGCCTGGAAAATACAGACATAGATACACATGCTTTTTATTAACCATCATAACAAATACAAAGTACAAAGTGCTCTCTGGAAACACACACTGGTCTGTAACATATTTTCAACTGGAGGTCTCACCGCCTACAAGGTATATCCCACATTCCTTAGCTGCATCTGACAACACCTGGGTTGATTCTCCTGGGATCTTCTCAGCATATTCTGCAAAGAAACCTGTTCCATATGGAGAGTTGAAGCACTCCTACAGAGAACCAGCAAAGAGAACGATTTACAGATAAGTATCGTAATACTGCCCCTAGGGGAAATTTCAACTGAAGTAAACCAACTTCCATATACAAGGATGAAATGGTAGCTGAAAGTTCTGTTGGCTGGACCATTTCAGTCTCCATGTACAGCCACTTGGGGTCGTCAGTTACTAACTGTTTTTTTTAAATTGCCACGACCAACTGGAACCCTAAGAATTACCGTTTTCCTTAAAGACTGATTACAGATGAAAAGGGTTTACTATAAATTAATGCATCAACATAAAGATGACCTCCGTTACTATAACATACTCACAGGTAGGACCACAACCTTTGCCCCCTGGCCTGCTGCCTGCTTCACCAAACTACAGGCGCGCTGTAGGTTGTCAGCCTTTACGTTAGTGACAAGAAGCTGCACCACAGCAAGCCTGAACTCTGTAAGATATTCAGTTAATAAGACATCTGCTAGAAGATCCAAAGGCATAAACATTAAACTGGGTGCATGAGTTTGACAGAGAGACAGAGAGAGAGAGAGAGAGAGAGAGAGAGAGAGAAATATTCAGCAGAAGAATATATACATTTCCATTGTAGACAGATATCTATCTAACATATTTGCCAATGTAATGATATATGGGTTTCTGCAAAAGTCTTAATGAATCAGACAGACTAGCTATCTGACGTGTATACTGTCCAACGTAATGATATATGGGTTTCTGTAAAAGTTTCAATGCATCCAGCCGTCAGCAGGACTGACACACGTGCAAGTCTCCGATTTCTACTAATACAACTCCTAACACATATACAGGAAACAAGTATTTACTCACTTGACATTGCCTTAGAAATACCAGACATGGACAAGTGCCTTTCAGCTTTCGCCCAAACGACACTTCCACCAGAGAAGTCTATTCACTTCAGCACTGTGAAGACTGACCACCAACCACAAACACGACGGAGCTTTCAACATAAAAGTCCCTCTGCGTAGAGTCGGCGCCTTATGACAGGTTTCACTTTCAGAATTTAAAGCGTCTGTGTTGTTTTTTTCAGAGGTCAGTTCATGACGTTTGTGTGTGTACCAAAAAACAGACGTAATTCATTTTTCATGACCTTTTTTCCAACCTCTCTTCACAGGCTGTTTTTGTTACTGTGCCCTGACTGATCTTGGTAAAAGATGTGTTCTATGCCTGTCCTGTATTGTGCCTGATAAAAAAAAGCAGTCCAGGCTGAAGCACTCCTTATAATTTCAGTGTGAATGGGCTATTTACGTATGTATGAATGTATGTATGTATTTATTTATTTATTTGAATGTGATTGTGTTGTGTAAACATTTTGTACACAGGTCTGTGTCGATGTACTCAGGTCATGCTCCAGTCTAACGTTTGGAAGAAGGGTCTTAATTTGTTTAACAAAGCTATACAGGTATAAAACAAGAAGAGCACAGACTGTTAACTTCACTGCACTGGTTTTGTTGCTTGAAGACAACCCATGATTAATAAATTATTTTCATTTTTCGTTTCCATTTTTCATTCACTTTTCCCGTCCAGTGATCTGTGTCTATTTTATACGCGGTGGTTGCACCAAAAAAAAGTTGGAAATGTGGGTGGCCTCCGGGGGGCGCTGATGACTCGCTCATGTTGCTCAAACAACTTCTGTTATTGGAGAGAAGAAGTATGTACAATTGAGAAGGGGTGACAAATACAGAGGAAGGTTAGTTTGATATAAAATAAGTTTTTCCCGCTTCAGTATTTGTTGAACGAGGTCTCAGAAAAGTAGCTAATGTTTAGCCATTGCTTCTTTTACTTGCCTTACTCCGTGACGAAAGTGTTTACGATGAGTGGAGCTGAACACGGACACTGAGAAGTATGGATGTGATCAGACGCGGCGTTGTGGGTAAACCTGTGTTGATGGTGTGCAGGTCTGCTTGGAGGAGATGTTTGCAAAGCAACCCCACAAATGTAGCTATGTTCACCACAAATCAGAGAAAGCACCTTGTTAAATTAAACACAATGTTAGCACGTTCAGCTCAGAGTGCAGAGACTACATATGGAAGTATGAAGTCACTGCAGTCATTTTCACCAAACAGAACTTTCTCAGTGAGTCTTTGCAAATACAAGAACAAAAACAGCAACTCCAGTCATGAAAGTGTGGTTGATGATGGAGACAGCGAAGAGGATTTCATTGGAGACACAGAAGTTGAGGAATTGTTTCAGCAGCAGATTCCCACAGGTATAGGTGAGGAGGACCACAGGGTCTTCATTGTTCATCCTGATGTCAAATGGGGACAAAAAAAGCAATACTTGACCACAGGTAAGTCATCTACCCTCAAAACGAGGGATACAGACAGAATATTGTGGACGAGTGCAATATAACCATCATATCCACCAATGTTATAGGTTTCTTATGCTGGTACATGTAAGATTAAATTGTATGAATGCACATTATGCAGCCATAATTTTAATAAAGATCAATGTTATTTGGTAGCTCTATGATTTTTGGCAGCTGTACAGTAACCACTCCTAGTTTGTGCCGTTAGCCCCAAGATTCAGTTTAATCAGATTGAGATTGAGATGAGATGATGTTTGTGATGACAAAGACTGAGAGATGTTTCTTCTTGTCTTGAAGCTGATCTCCAAATGGAAGAAGCTGTTGGTCTGGTGAAGACATTAGAGAACTGGACTGTCATTGACAAGATCATCCTCTCTACCAAAACGCCAGAAAAGAAGAGGATTTTCGGCAAAGGAAATTTCCAGGCTCTCACCGGTGTTTACTGCCCCCTCGTTGTTTGGTCATTTTCTAAATTCTGTGTACTGAAAATATGAAATATTTAAAGATTTTTTTTCCTCCTTGATGCATTTGTGTAGAGAAGATCAGAAGGACACCTGGTGTTACGGCTGTTTTCATGAACATTGAGCGTTTGTCACCATTGTCTGAGGTAGGTACAATATTATTATTATTATTATTATTATTATCATTATACATTGCAATATTCTAAGATTTGTCTTTGGGGGACTGCAGGTAGCCTAAATATTCATGTTCCCCTTCACAAAGTTTAAAACATTTCTTTCCCAAATGGCATAGGAATATAATATACGGCAATAGCCAGTGTAACTGAAAGATTATTTTACATCATTGAACTCAGTCCTGCTCTAGAAAAGGTTTTAGCTTTGATTCTTCATTGACAGTGTCTTGAAAGCAAACCTTGAATGAAAAATTACAGTCAAAACCACTAAGCAGAATCCTCAGAATCCTTGGGGATATTAACATATATTCACATGATGTTTTCTGCTGTGATGTTTTTTGTTCAAGAGGGATCTGCAGGAGGTCTGGGGTGTGAAGGTTTTTGACAGATACTCGCTAGTTCTGCACATTTTTCGCCGTAATGCCAGAACGAAAGAGGCCAAACTGCAGATCTCACTGGCTGAGATTCCTCTGCTCAAGTAAAGACTAAAGCTCATTCTGTGCATTACTATCCAAGGGCAGCTTGGGCTGTATTCAGAAATGAAGTCATATGATGATTATTATTATAATTTTATTATTAAACCTCAAATTAGTACATAATAAATTTCATGACATGTTTGTACTTGTCTTCTCTTTGGACTAAGGTCACGACTGAAGAATGAAGTTGCAAACTTGGACCAGCAAGGTGGAGGTTCACGGTACATCATGGGTTCAGGTAAGAGACACGTCAGTAAGTCTGGCACTTTCTTCTCAGTGGGACTGGAGTAAGATTGGAGTAGTTTGCTATGGTGTGTGCAGGTGAAACTCTGTATGAGGTTCAGCAGAGGCTGCTGAAGGAGCGTGAACTAAAGATTCGCTCTGCTCTTCAACGACTGAGGAAGAAGAGACACCTGCTCCGCTCCCAGCGCAAGAACAAAGACTTTCCCATCATCTCGGTCATGGGCTACACTAACTGCGGTGAGACCAGGGTCCCCTTTGACCTATTTTTCATTGAAATCAAGTTTAAAGTAGATACAGGAAAGGAAACATGCTAAGTCAGTGAAAGTTATGGGTGTAAAACTGCATTAGTGCATTAGGAGGCACTGATCCACTAAACCAACATGTTGGATCACTAGACTAACAAATATCTTACTAAGCTCAGTTCCCCAAAACCGCTGCACATTGTTTGCATCACAGTAGTCTGAACCATGTTAATTGGAACTGCGTGAGTTTGAACCATAAGGGTTTGACTTGTGGTGGTTAAGGACATGTTCCATAAAAAGTGGAAAAATTTCTATGAACAGCAGTCTTACTTACTCTAGTGTCATTAACAGGTGCGAAATTACTTTTCAGTGTAATGCTGCGTGCTTTAATGTAATACCTGTAATGTATTGTTCATCATGTATAAACACAGAACTACCTAAAATACAAGGCACAATTTGGAGAACCACTAGCCAAGAAATTATTTCTAATGCAAGATTGTCAGCAAAATGCACACATCTCACAATATGCTTTCCTTGGTCAACAAAAAAAATTCTAACAAAAAAAAAAATGTTGACAGCTTATGGGCTGTAATTTCAACTGTGCAACAGGTAACAGCTTGTGTTACATTTTACATGTAGTAAAAGATCATCCGCATATAATAATGTCTTTTACAGAGCAACTTGCAGCAGCGCATGCACACCATGTTTTTTGTTATTTTTTTCTCCTGACTCAGTAACGCTACTTTTTTCAATTTTACCAAAAAATGAACACAGTACACAGTGCACCTTTAATGATTCAAGAACTATTTGAATTGTCTGAGATCAGAGGTTTACACCCCTAGTAAATATGTTAACGTTTACTTTGTCTCCTTAGGTAAGACTACGCTAATCAAAGCTTTGACCGGTGATGCTGGACTCCAACCTAAAGATCAACTCTTTGCTACTCTGGATGTTACGGTACATGCAGGGTGGCTGCCAAGTCATATGACTGTACTTTATGTGGACACAATTGGCTTCCTGTCCCAGCTGCCTCACCAGCTCATAGACTCCTTTTCCGCAACGCTGGAAGACGTGGCACACTCTGTACGTACCCAAAGAGTCTTAATGTTCATTACTAGAAAAATGCAGATTTTCAGTGAGTAAGACTGAATGAAAGATCATATGAGAGGCATTCTGGCATATCTTAACCAATATCTTCTCTCCTTTGTCAGGATCTCATTGTTCACGTGAGGGACATTAGTCACCCAGAGACCGTGATTCAAAAAGTAAACGTACTAAACATTTTAAAGAATCTTCAGATCCCAGAGAAACTCATGAACTCCATCATAGAGGTGCACAATAAAATTGACCTTGTTGAAGGGTAAGAACGTCAGTCAGACTATGATATAAGAAAATGTTCTTTCAGTGAGTCGCGACGAATTTTAATATTTGTTTATATGTGATCATTTCTTAGCTATGAATCAAGCGAGCCTGAAACTTTGCCTATATCAGCATTAAAAGAGGTAGGATTGGAGGAGCTAAAGCAGAGAGTGGAAGAAGCTGTTGTGAAGTCAACTGGGAAACAAATCATGACTCTGAAAGTTCAGCTCAACAGTCCACAGTTAGGGTGAGTGACAAATATGAATGGCTGATATAACAATATCATTGTGACAAGCTTCACAACAATAGATACTAGGGGTGGGAATCTCTAGGCACCTCACAATTCGATTCGATTACGATTCAGAGGGCTGCGATGCGATTATAAAACCATTATCTATGCATCTTGATGCATCTTTTTTTTCTATACAAAATTTCTTTTTTTCTTACTGTGTGAGGACTTGGTACAAAGTATTTGTAATGATCCATAATGAATTTACTTCCAATATCTTTTATTAATAAAACAAATGGAAGTGATGTGGCAAGTGAACTAGAAGGCTCTCATTCACTGCTTTTGTTTGGAGCACATGAGACGCTGCTGCCACTCATCTGTGATAAAATGCGCTGTTACGGTGACATAAGATCCAGTGGTGATGGATGTCCACGCAGCATGTTACAGCCATCCTACCCATTTTCTTTAGTGATTTCATAACTTCGGTTTTTGGTCTCGTAGAGAGTGGGGGGGCAATTGCTTTGTCAGTAAAATATCTTCGAGACAGGATGTGTACAACAGCGCGAAAGCCCCGGTTCTCAACGACTGAGAACTGGTGTGCAGACTGCAGGTCACAGAGCAACGCAGTCTTGCCTGGCTAGTAGCTAACAAAAAGGCAAAGAGAGAGATTTAAGACAAACATTTGGAGATGAACGGAGTTACTCAAATTTATAAGCTCCGCGGTTGGTTTCCTGGTACGTTAAACCTGCAACGAGAGACGGTCAAACACTAAAACGTTGCGAAGATGAAGTCAGCTTGTCTTTCGAACTTTCCCGTTCCACCTTAAATAGTGCCGCGTTTACATTCTGCGCCTCAGTCAGAATTTAAGGTGGAATGGGAAAATTAGAACAAGAAGCTGGCGAATAAGAAGGGGGCGAATGAGAAGCTGACTTCAGCCTCGTAAAACAGTCAAACGTTGAGAGACATTTTACAAGAAACTATTAAACTTATGAGGAAAAGTGTCCTGGCGGAGATGTGAGGAAAGCAGCTAAAGCTTAAAGCAGAGCAAAGTAAGTCTGCATTTTCGTTTCGGTGCTGACTGTCGCTCATCCAGTTGTGTTTTTGTTATGTGCCATCACAGAGTGACGCAATTCCAAGTTCCGCCTTTTGCGTTCCGTCAACATTACGTTATAAATTAGAATTTAGAAAATCGATTTTTGATATTTGTGAATCGATTCAGAATTGTCCACGTCCGCATCGCGATGCATCTAAGAATCGATTTTTCCCCCACCCCTAATAGATACATACATTGCATAGTGAAGATTACAGCAGTTAAAGTCAGAGAAATGTAAACTGAAAATCTGTGACAGATTTATGAGCGAACCACAGTATTAGAGAGGGTCTTTGAGCTAGCTGAGCATTGCATTCTATGATAGTTGGGGGTGTTGGGATGGGTAGGTGAAAAATTACATCATTGATCAATTCTATTTTTCCCTGTCCACTGGTGCACAGTGACCCAATGAAAACTCAGGGCATTTTAGGGGCAGACAAAAGTCATTACAGAAGATTACAAGAAAACAAGAATTTAATCTTTTAAACTATATCATATGATAAAATGTATCTAATATAACCACTGACATTAATTAACAAAGTGGAAAAGGTCAATTTTGGTTTCAGGCTAAAGGGGAACTCCACCAAGCTTCTCCTTATCTCAGATGTTGAGATCTAAACAGTCATTCGGAGTGTATTATTGTGAAAGTGCACTGTATATAAACTTACTGACTCTTACTGACTGGTTTTATTACAGTGGTAGTTTTAGGAACCAGGAATCACAATGTCTGCAACACAAATATAACCATTTTATTTACAATCCAAAATGACCAGTAAACCTACATGTTTCTTCTGAGTTTTCTGAGCCAAAATGATGAGGTAGTAATAAATATTTTTTGGGGGGACTATTTTGCCTTGCAGTGCCCTGCATCTCTCCACCATGAATGTAATTTTAAAAAATGTTCTATGCCAAAACTTCATCTCAAAAGTATTATAAAACAAAGTGTCAGTCATGAGGTAATTTATTTATAACAATTTCACCATTTTTAACTTTCTGTGAGGTAGTGTTTAGAGATATTGGACTCTTCACTGGATGCCTGGTTCCGATCACCACCACTGAGCAAATCTGACTCAGCAAGTTTCTCTACGATGAGGCATTTCATATCAAACCACTCTGAATGGCATTGTTTACATCTTAATTATGCAGAAGTTTTTAAAAGATTGGTGGAATTCCCTTTAATGATACCCCAACACCTGTGATAATTCATTACATTATTCTTTTTCTATTTTTCTTTTTTTTTTTGGATGTGCTTTATGTGCAGTTGGTTGTATAAGGAAGCCACTGTTCAGGAGGTGCATGATGGGGGAGACGACTGTACCGCCAGTGTCAAGGTAATCATCAGTACTGCTGCATATGGCCGCTACAGGAAGCTGTTCCAGGTCACTTAGCAACAGCCGGCCTGTCATGGAGCCAGAATAAATGTGTCTATTTCTGAAGTCAATTACTCACTGTGGACATAGCTGGATAAATATTTATTTAGAGACGCATTTCAAATATATCAAACCCTTTAGTGTAAAAATGATCGTGCAAACAAGTAAACAATATGGAGAGTGTGTACAAATGTAAACAATAAAGTAAGCAAAGCTGCCTCTCACCCTCTCTCTGTCTCACTCTGACTGGTTTTCAAGCATGTTTTTGCACAGTAGTGTTCAGCTGGACGGCCTGTTTAAAATGTTTACATGCTACTTGTGACTTTTTCTGCCTGCTTTGCATGGTACCAGGAGTGTTTTAACACAGCAAAAGGAAAACGATACAGTGATGTCCCTCAATGCACAGCTTCATCTAGAAAGCCTTGGGCAACTTCAGTCTTCTAGAATAACTCAAGGCTCCAATGATTCCTTCATCAAAATTAAAAGAAGACAACCTGTCCACCTGGATAAGCTAAGTTGATTCCTTCTGTGATTAGGGGCCTCTTTGTTTGAGCAGTTTTTTGTTAAGGGCGATTACAAGCGAGCAAAATGGAATGAACCCAACAAAGTCTCCAGCAATGATGTTGAGATTTGTAGGGTCAGCTCCAGGCTTCTGATCCTCCAGCCACTTCTTTACACTCTCCCAGTTCTCCATGGTCAGGGTCTTCAGGGATACTTGTGGGTGGGAGGCAATAAAGCAGCGGTCTGCAGTTAAGTTCAGGCCTGCGACAAAGAAGCCATCTGTACAAACAGTGCAAAAAGCAGATGATCAAGAACTAATTAAACGGTTATTCTTAAAGATGTCCAACTTCAGTTTTTGTACATGACTTTTTAGGTGGAAATGGTAGCACTGACTGGGTCCACAAAAATTTGAGCTTTGTATACAGGGAGTACTGAACACTTGCATTTATTGATTGATTATCAGGATGTCATGCATTAACGTGAGTCCACTGGGTCAGAGAATTGTTTCTCTGCATTCAGTATTTTTTTGAAAACTGCACAAGTCTGATTCACTCTGTATTACTAACACCATTCAGCATGTCAGCTGTTCACATAATTATCAATCCTCTTTTAATTAATAATTGCCTGTGTTAAAGGAAGACATACAGTTATAACCCCTAACTCCCCCTCACCTGGCCGACCAAGTTCTTTCTGCCTTTCAAGATACTGGAGGAGTTCATCAGCATTAGCCTTGTTTGCCCACCAGTAAGGGATTCCTTTCCATAGCACTTTATGCCGTGCTGCTGCCTGGTCATCATATGACAGCAGCACCTGATGGCCTGATGACCACAAGCCACGCAAGGTTATATCAGCCTTGAGAGGCAAGCAGTGCAAAGGAAATGAAGGAACGAATAAATAGACAAACATTAGACAAGTCTGTAAGCTGCATTAACAGTTACAGTACTATGCAAAAGTCAGAGACGACCCATCATCATAGTGTTGTCGTCCCACAGTGGAAGGATGGGAAGAAAAAGATCAAAAGCCAGTGTGGCACTTGATTTTTCTCCTATATCCTTAAGATGAAAGCTTTAAGTACCGCTACCAGGTCTTGCACAGTTGTTAAGAGTCTCATTCCCTCTAAAACCTTTAATAGTTTTTGCACTCTAGTTGTGGAAATTCCTGATTTTTTTCACTTTTCAGAAATATCTCCTGAAAAAGGAATAACTTAATGTCTGTTTTGATGGGAAATGACGAGTGGTCTCTGATTTTTGTATAGTCCTGTATTTGTGGTCCACACTAGCAAGAACTGTAAGATTAACCCTTACTTTTACTTAAGATAAATAAGAAATTAGAAATATGATTTTTACTCATTAATTCCTACTCAGAAGCTATGGCTTACATTGCGAGGGCACAGTTTAAAGCCAAAGATGTTCTTTAAGGAATATATGAAGTCCTCATGACGTTTTTCACTTAAGCCTTCAAAATGACTACAGGCCAGGATGACAATCTCTTTGGGGTGATCCGAGAGCCATGTTGCAACAGTGCGTAGGGTTTCCTGTAAGAAAAATATCACAGTGTGCAGATTAATACTCCCTCATTTTGCAGCAATTAAAACCTGCTTTAAATAAAGTCTACACAAAACACTTGATAACTGAAAGATACTTAGATTTACCACAACAGTTAGTTGGGTGTAAATGACATGAGTGAAATAAAGATCATTTGAAGTTTCATATGGTCTCTGGGCAATTCGAAGGTCAAAGTATCGAATGCCTGCCTGCAACTGCTCCACAATGCCTTTGACCTGTTAGATTGTTTGAATGAAAAGAAAAAAAGAGAAAAATGTGAATTTGATGAGGCCATAATTTAATAAAGAAGCAATATAATATGACTAAGGTGGAGCTTCAGGGCTTAATATTTAATTTAGTTGCCATTTTAAAAAGGCTGTATAGGAAGCATAAAGAACTGTGTGTTCCTTGGTGTGCCACTGCCATTGAGGAAGCTTTAATTTGAACTTTTCCTTTTATAGACACTGTGGGAAA